AAAGAGACTCAGATCCCGCATCCCAGGGCGCCGGAAAGTTGGCGTGTTGCCCTCGTTGACGACAACGAGTCCGGCTCTGGCAGCAAAGTCCAGAATGTACTTGCCCCGGGAATTTGTGAGAGTCATTCCCCACTCGACAGCCCTAGCATTAAAATCCCCACCCACGACGACGTGTCCTGTGGTATTGCGCACGCTCTCTTCCAGGCGGTCTATCTTCTCACGAAAGTCACGGATGGCCTCATTGGGAGACACTAAAGTAAGTGACATCCCGGCACCGAACCCAAACGAAACCTCGGCCCTTCGCGTGACCCCGTACTTGTACTGTAGCTGCATTACGCGCCCAGATTGCAGCAGTACCAAGACTATCAGGGAACCAAAAAGCTGGGTCCCTATCACGGTACTGGTACTGTTCGCTGACTAAAAGCGCGTCGACATCGTGTTCTAGGGCAAGCTGACATAGAAGTGCGTCAGCCGTCCTGGATCGCTCAAGATTGCATTGAAGGATTCTTATCTTCGTGGGAGGGCTTTCGCTTGTTGTAGTGCAGATTTAAATACACTGCACTTTCCAGACCCAGCTATATGATTCAAGTGTTTTTCAGCGAGCCCATTTTCTTTGCAAAGAAAACAGGACTCGACTTGGCAGTCCTTACGGATGTGACCGACCTCCCCGCACCGAAGGCAGTTCTTGCTTCGGTCCGGTCCCTTGCAGTTTCGGGAGGAATGGCCGAAACAGAGGCATTTAAAACACCTTCCACTCTCCGTCTAAGCCTGCAGTTGACCCAGCCGACTCTCAGATGCTGGAGTGCCAGCACCTTATTGGCATGTGCGTCTGCCATTTCGGCGACCGCCATCCGCTGCTGGCTCCTATTCGGTTTTGTGAGCCACACCTTAAGAAAAGCCGTTTGCCCATCAAGCTCGGGGATAGCTTTCTTCAGGGCTTCCACAACATCAACCTCCGTCGACACACAATTGTAACGGTCGTATTCCCCTTGGAATACCTACCGCTACTTTGGGTGATGTAGCTCAGAAATGAAACTCAGCACTCGCTTACAAAACCCAACTTTATTAAATACTCAAAAACAACACAAAGATAAACTCACAATCATAAAAGGTAGAGTAGACTGGAACTGTATAAATCATTTAGTTAGAAACTGAAACCCCAATTTGGAAAAGACTCTAAACCCCTATTTTGAAAACCCTTTACATTTTCTTACCTGGACCCAAGGCCAAGGGCCTTGGGCTCCAGTTCCCCCAGCAGGACCCCTTCCTCTGGTGCACCACACAAACCACTCCACACCAAACTGACCCCTTGATCAAGTGCACTGGCCTACTTAAAGCAACAGCCTTCAGTAGGTCAGCACAACAAGTTATTGTTTAACAACACTACCAGCCTACTCACACAACATTGCCAAACACTTCCTCTTTACAATATTTGACCCTCCTATTACATCCCCCCATTTCCTCCAGACGATGTCCCCAGCGTCTCAACTACATAGATATATCCACTCAGAGAGAAAAAAAATTAATAACAAAAACTGATTAAAATCTTTTAAAATTGTACCTAAACAAAATTAAAATAAGGTTTAGGAGGGGAAGAACTGACCAACTGTTTGCTGACTTCCTCAGCAGTTGCGTCGATAAAGCCTCCTCGAACAGTCGTTGGTCTTCAGATGTTTGACTTCAGCCATGTCTTCTGCGATATCTCTCACTTCGGTGTCTATAGTCTGTAGTCCATCCAGCGTTCCTTGACAGCATTGATGATGAATCGACTTTGGTTGACGATGACGTTGGACTGCTTTTTCCATTGATTGAGTGTACTGCAGCCTGAAGTTCTCTTCTTAAAAGCCCTTGCCCCCAGCTGCGTTTCCCCAGTTTTCATTGAGTTTGACAAAGTCTCTTCCTCCGATCACAATGTTGAAGATAACACGGCAAATCATGAAGTTCTTGTAGCCTTGTCTACAGTTGGTCAGTGGGGATGGGTAAATAGGAAGCCTACACAAACATATAACTCACAAATACAACATATAATTTATAAAAAAAACCCTAGACTTTTAAAGAAATTCTCAAACTCACATTAAGAACAAAACAACACAACCAACATTAAAACAAAAATTATTGAAACTAAGAGAAGTGTTTGGAATGTGTTACCTTAACAAATCATAGGCCTATACGATGAAATAACAAAACATTATAAATAATTTCAGATTGATTTACTTTAAATTCTTCAAATATAACCTTTTTCAAAGTATTTAAAACAATAAATGATGGAACAGTCTTTCATTTCTAGTATAATTTAATTTAATTCTGAATAAACAAAAATATTCAATTCAAGGTTATCCTCTAGTTTTGCCATTCCATTTTTTACCACTTGATTTACGGCTCTCTGGGTCCGGAATGTGTCCAGCATAGCCTTAATTGTCTTTTCCATGTCACGGAGCCGGGTTTCAATGTTACTATCTGCGTCAAGATATTCCTGACGCAGAAGCATAATCTCCGAGCTTTCAGACCGCGACGTCGCTGTGAAGGTTTCCTTCAGCATCCCTACAACAGTTCCCGGCAATGCCAGTTCAACATCTACATCGCCAACATTTTCTGCACCGTTTCCAGCTCCACTCTCCAAAGGAGATCCTAACGGGGGGAACGTAGAGCACTTGAAAGGTGCAGGTGGCGGAGATGTCCTTACGTTTTTCGGTGGTGGCAACCTCTTAAGCTTGGAGCTTCGATCAAAGGGGTTCTGCTCCACTTCAGACGTTTCTATTTGCTCATTGGAGCTCCTATTCAATGATGTGTTTGTAGGGTTTTTATTCAAATTCATCGTGTTTTCTCCAGCGCATCGTGCGGCAAGGAGCGGCCCGGAATCAGTCAGGAACGGGTATACCCTCGGGGACAAAAAACCCCCTACCCCGGTTCCCGGGGGCCCGACCTCCGTTTGCCCAGCACCGGATACCTGACATGCCGGGGGTCGCCCGTCGCAATGCAGAGCCCGACCTCTGCATCCATGCCGCACTCCCTGACCAAGGACCGAAGTGGCTGGTTTCTCACGACCCACTGATAAAACCCATCGGCAGTGCAGAGCACACATCAACCCCTGCAACACAACAGGGGCACTCCCAGGGACTCCCAGTGAGTTCGTCGGTCACCCTTTTAGTCGCCTCTTACGACAAGCCCGAGAAGGCTGCGGTGCTATTCTAACCCGGTACCGCAAGGGGAAACTCCATTGCAATATTAGGCCTATATCAGTCTTTAAATAAGGAATTGTCCTGTCACGGTCGCCACTTATGTAGGAAATATACGTGAATGCTATTAAAATCGTCTTTTCCCTACTATTATTATAAACTACAAGAAATAAATATTTTGCTGATACAATACTGCAATTCTTTTAATAATCTGAATAAAAACTGTTTACATAATTCTCACAATGTACAAAACAACTGGTCCAAAACAAATAGGAAATTTAAAAAGATCAGCTGTCTGTAAAAAGGCAAAAGGCAAAATGGACCAACTACTGATACCAACAACAACGGTAATAGCTTATTCCCTAAATGGGAAATTCGCTAAAATAAAACTGTTTTAGACCATACATAGTGTATATTTCTCCATTTACCATAAGTTAGGATAGGTTTTATTTAACATCGATAAAACGGGAGTACCTATGTTTTATCAATGGTTTTGATAACAAAGTTAGGCTATGTTCATTAACTTATGTAAGTTAAAGTATGTAAGTTACTTTCTTACTCATAGCTACATACATACATACATGATACATGATCTCTCCGTCCATAGTCCTTTGCCTTAAGGAATTGGACAGGTCAGGGTTAAAACAAAGAATAACCAACCTTAATACTAGTTTTTGTCACCGTTAAGGTAAATGTCTATATCATGAAAACTTAACTCCACTAGATATTTTTTCAATTCTAATTTAAATTTTGTTAAGCTCTGAATTTCAAGTAATTTTTTCGGTAGGGCCTGGTACAATTTCATTCCCATGTAATCTGGTTTGTGTTCAAATTTTGTGAGTTTATGTTGGACTGCATGTGTGCCCTTTGTTCGGGTGTTGTAAGTGTGATTTGTAAAAGTTGGTTTAATGTTCTGTGATTTTATATAGCAAACTTATTCAAAGATAAAAAGTGAAGGGACTGTGAGAAAGCCAAGTTCTTTAAAAACATTTTTGCAGCTGGTCCGAGGCGGCATGCCCAAGATTGCTCTTACTGCCATGTTCTGCCAAACAAAGATCTGCTCAATATTCTTCTTCACAGCTCCCCATAGGATGATTGAATACAAAATGTGTTGTTCTATTAGGCCAAAATACACAAGTTTAGAGAGAGCCAGGTTTCCGAAGGTCCTTATTCTTCTAAGTACAAAGACCCCTCGAGCCAATGACCCCTCCAGTTTTTTTATTTGTGCATCCCAGCTCGATTTATCATCCAATCTCACTCCCAAAAAGTCGGCAGTTTTTGAAATTTGGATTTTATCCTCTCCAATTAATAGGTTCGGAGTCCTATTATTTTTTAAATTTTGTCTTTTCGCAGTTTGGATACACATGTATCCTGTTTTTTGTAAATTTAATTTGAGTTTGAATAAAAAAAGTCAGCCAGGTCATTTGCTCTTTGATTAGATTTTGCTTTCAACTTAAACATGACTTGTTTCTGATTGAATTTTATTTTCAATTATCGAGATCAAATCAACTAAAATTGTAGCCTAACTCTTATTTTTAAACATTAACTTGTAGCATTGACTTTATATCTACATCTGTAGATATAAAGTCAATGCTTGTAGGCTATGTGACCTTCGTTTCCAAATATGAATGAAATAAATTAGTATAAGTTAATGGATCCTTTCAAGACTGCGCTACGCTAACTTACCATTGCACACACAGGTCCCTCAGTAAAATAAAAACCAGGATAAATAAGTTAATACAAGATGAACTAACCTTACTTAAGTTTAACTGAAATATTCCCTTAAACTCAAAATTACAAGATAACTTAATTGTCTGCCTCCAGGTGTAAATGCGGTTGCCACGGTGTGACACGTCCATGTCATCGTGGTCCAACAGCACTGGTCATCACACAGTGGACCTATTCAACAACACTAACTATCCTCAGGGGCACGAGTTTCTTTGGTCTAAATTATTCAACCCTAAACGAGTAAGTACAACTAAACTTAGATAACCATTTTTTCAGTTGATTGCAATAAATTTCTGTATATTATAGTTTTTTAACCACTACCAGTTAAAAGTTCCATAAAGACATAATTTTAAATATTTTTATAATGTGAATACGGTTAACTGTTACCTACTCTATGAATAAAAAAAGTTCCTTGGCTAGTGGTTCTCTTTGTCTCAAGTAATCGACAAAATTGTTGCTCGTAAAATGTAAACAAAAAACAAGAAGAAGGTAGCTCTTAATGTTATTCTTATGGGACAAAATGAAAATGGTTTTTTTAGGATTTTATAATTATTACAGAACAGATTATCTCCAAAAAAACAATCCCACACAAGATATTAAGCTATAAATTCTTTGTGCAAAATATCAAGTTGATGTATAGTCATTGTCGAGAAATCGTTTCACAAAGAGATGCACTTCGTACCAGTATGAGAATTCACTTCATTCAATTTCTTAATCCATACTACTACTTCCTTCATCACTTCCTACGTCGCGGACCTGTTTCCTTCCCTTCCTATAGCATTTAAGGATTGCAGATACCTTAATCTAATCGTCATAAACACTTCCCACACTCCAGACTGCTCGTCTTTACTATTTCCTTCACCACTTCCTACGTCACGGACCTATTTCCCTCCCTTCCCATTGCATTTTAGGATTGCAGATACCTTAATCTAATCGTCATAAACAGTTCCCACACTCCAGACTGCTCGCATATACTATTTCCTTCACCACTTCCTGCGTCTCGGAGCTGTTTCAATCCATTCCCATTTCACTTTTAGGATTGCCGATACCGGATCTAAGTAGGCTATCTTAGATTTACTTATAACAGGCCGATGTATTTTGCAAAAACATGTCCTGTGAATGATATCATTATATTATTGTTGTGTTTGAATTTGCTATTACTACCTGTTCATTGATAAAATCAAAGATGCAGTACCGGTAAGTTACAACTGACATGTTACGGTATCCTATAGTCTAATAAGCGCGTGTACTTACAGTTAGAGGTGTGCGGATAGTGAAATTTCATTTCGGATCGGATTCGGATCGGATAGTTGAGGTTCGGTTCGGATCGGATCGGATATTGGGAGGTTCGGATTCGGATATTTTCGGATTCGGATAGTTCGGCGCGGTTAATAATAAGCTGCATATGTATTTTTAACCTATAAAACAATGTAAAGCTGTGTAAATAAACTTAAATGACGATTTTGAACTATAGAATTTCAAATTAGCCAAGTCCACAGTTTTCTCTCTCTTGAAAATCACAATTCACAACATTTATTTTCAAAAGTTGGTTGCTTGAATTAAGTATACTAGCAGCTGAAATCTTCACACAACACCTTAGCTCAGCAGGACTGATGTCAAACGTTTGGGCTTGTTTACTTGAGGTTATGTTTTATCTTGTTTCCTGGTTCTCACAAGCCAAGGAGTTCGATCTCAAGTTTATTTTCACAATGTATTTCCTTACGTTTTTGGAACGGATTATTGGCCTTAAGTGGCATTTTGCGGGTTTGCCAAGTTTAGAAAACATCACTAATGCACTAAGATGGGCTCTAGCTCACGATTTGATGTTGGGCAATTAAATTAGACTTTATAACTGTATAAAAGGTGTGTATCCCTGAATTTATAAATTGCATTCTCTACACTTATTCACTGCCAAACATAATTCAGTAGAACCTTGATGAACCGAGAATTACACTAGCCTACATAACTTCATTACCCCAAGTAAAATACCAAGATAATTTTTATAATTGTATTTGAATCGTATAATCTTAGTTTGTTAAAAATGGATTGTATGTTCAACAATAATTGCAGTCCATTATTGTTAAGCAGTATGGTCCCAAATTATTGTTTTTGATTTTGAAACATCACAGTTCATTAGACAAAATTATAGTTGAAGCAGCCCAATGTCAAGTCACGCTTGTGCAATAGTTTGTTTACAAGCTTTCTCCAAACCACGGGGGAGGGGAGGGTCTGATAAGCCGTCTATTGTTCACCCCCAAGAAGGTCCGACCCTCATTAGTGCCGCTCGGCTGCACTCAGTGGGGAACCCAATACCACAAATCAATCTTTTAAATTAATACAAATATTTGGTAATAATTGTTTTATTAATATTCACCTTGAAATTTCAATAAATTTGGTGTAAAATTTGACAAAAATCGGCCGTTTTGACCGATTATTAATACAGTACCAAATACCAATAAAGTAGTGCATTCATTGTTAATTAAATAATAGGTAAAAATTAACCGATTTTCGTCAAGTTTTACCCCACTGCTGTGCGCTATGTCACAAAAGCTGATAACGACATGGGTGATTAGTAACCATGGCAACTTGTTGAATGCGTGATGAAGGGAAACCCAAGAAGTAGAAGAACAAAGAGAAAGAATAACGACGTTGTTATCTTTATACCCTTTTTACAATTTCCGTTATTGTTATCTTTATGTAAGATTTTATGATTTTGTTTTATAGGTTTATAAAATAATTCTTTTTAACTACGGGAATATCAATTTATAATTTATCAACGTGCTTCTCTTCTGAAACAGCAATACCCGATGCATAATAAAGGTCAATGACCTAAAATATCACGATTGTGCAATATTGTATTTTGATGTTGAAATTAAAATCACGACAAAAGTTTGTATATATATCCATGGCCCCTATAGTTTAATCATTCAATATGTACACAATCAATGCTAAATAATCGTGGTTAGTTCTAACTTTATTTTTTATTATTCAAAGTTTGTACACAGTAAGACAATCCAAAGTCAAACCGGGCAATGAATACCCAAGAAACAACATATCTTGTCCTGTGATTGAAATACCACTCGCCGGCCAGTCCTTTAGGTTTAGGGAAGTAGTGCAAGTCTATATATATCTTCATGGTCTTACCCACCCCTTCCCCCTCCAGTCCTACTTGACTCACTACCCGCACTCCTTTCGAGGTCATTGCCCAACCCCTCCCACCCTTCTATTGTATTGCCTTTCTATTGTTTCTATTCTGACTTTTTTTCGGGAAACATTAAATCTATTGTTTACGTAACATCACAGTAGTAGGCTAGATTTTTCTACTTTGAAACAGTACTGTAAAAAAAACTATTACGCAGCGCCCCTAGTATCAGGAGCGAGACAAGCACGAGTTGACTTTCATTTGACCATGGTAGTTCTTTTCTGCTTTATGTCTGTTCGTTCCAGACGAATCTAATCGTAAAGCAAAACAGCCGATAACGACTAAACTAGTTATCAGTATTGCATCATACGGCTTCTTTGCCGTTTGCTGTTAGGTCGTTGGAAACGTATTGCTGTAATTTTGTCCTGGGAAACTAATGGTGGCTATGGCGATTTAGTTTTCTGTCCAAAACGTCAAAATATATTGTCTATCCGAAAAAGTCGGATAGTGTCGGAAATCGAATTTGGGCCCGGTTCGGATACGGATATCCGAACCAAACCGAATCCGACCCGATTTTTCGGATATCCGCACACCTCTACTTACAGTACAGTAAAACTTTTATTTTCGTCCAAGGATTTAAAATATTTTCATTAATTGTGGGGTATTTGGCCTTGAGAAATCGATTGGAGATGATCACAAGGTTGTGAAAAACCAAGTTTCCGTCCTACAGCCCTTGAAAGTGCCCATGTTAAGGTCAATACCTTTTTGTAGCTGCAGTTAATAAATACCCCCGCCGCAGCAAACCTGCAGACTAAGCCAATTTTCACTTGCCTGATTTGATTTTCAATTACAGTAAATCTATTTTAACAATAACATTAGGTATAACGAGTAGGCTACCTAGGTTTGCTGCTACAGGGAGGGTAATAAAGTTGGTTTTTTTTAGTAAAACATTAACCCTAGCAGTGGCCAATGTTAGAAGTGGGGAATGGCCAACCCATTTTGGCTATTTTGCAAACCTTTTTTTGAAAATTCATAAAAATTCAACCGTACAAGTAAACCTAGCCAACCTCATATTCATTTTGTTCAGAAATAGTAATATCATAATGATTTAGACAGTGTATTTTATCGGTAAAGTGAAAAAAATAAAAATAAAATTGTTTTTTTCTTTTGAAATTTCAAAAGCGGCCTCGGTATTTTTTTTTCTACGGATTTCTTATGGGAAATTCATTATATACATTTTGTAGACAATCTAATTCCCTACATAGAAATATATAACATGTTAGGAAAATAATTTTTTTTTTAAGTTTTTGGGGCGAAATATAATGACAAACGGAGAACCGAAAAAATTGAAAACCGTACAGTGTTAGTTTATGTTGTAAAAAGTTATATAATATATGTGTACAATACTAATAATGATATATACATGTTTGTAAAGCTAATGAAGTAAGGAATAAAAAAAAGTCATACAGTTTATGGTAAAAATAATTTTTTACCTATAAACATATGTATATAAAATAATGTTTTTATATTTTAGCGATTTCGCGAGAAAAAAAATTCACAGTATTTAGTATACAACTTTTGTACCAAATTTGTTTACTTCAAACCAACATAATAATCTTGTAGTGTATTCAATTACCTACATAAAAATGTATAAAATGTTAGAAATTTTTTTTTTTGTACGTAATAGGGACATAATAATATAATAACAACAAAACCGCAAATAAGTGTAAACTATACAGTGTTTGTTTGTGTTGTGAAACATGTAGGCTAATATATGTATAAACTAATGATGATATGTACATATTTGTAAAACTAATTAAATAAGGAATCCAAAAAAGTCATAAGTATGATGGTAAAAAGTAATTTTCACCTATGATTATGTATCAATTTGAGAACGTTTTGAATTTTTTGCGCATTTCGAGAAAATGGAGTGTACAGTATTTAGTATATAACTTTTTTACCAAATTCTTTACACCCAAACCAATATAAACATGTTGTAGTGTATTCAATTACCTTTATAAAAATGTATAAAACCTTGGGTAAATCATTATATAGCATATATAGCACGGCGAACTAAGATCCGTCTCGTACAACAATC